TCCCTTTCCACACCTTCCGGCTCAGAAAGCGCACATTGAGAGCGGCCGGACTTCAGTTCAGTCGGACGTGGATCCCGTTGCAGGGCTACGGCGACAAAACACTCCCCTAATAAATACTCAAATAAACAACAAGGTGGTGCCGAGAAGCAGCAAAGTGTCCAGGCAGGAGTTTCCGTCACCTCCGTTTATTATCCGCAACATGCGCTCGGAAAGCAGGCTTGTTGTGTAGGATCCCGGGTTTTGGAGAGAAACAGGGGCTCCGGGAACCCGAAACTAGGGAGTAGAGGGTCAAAGGGGGGGGGGAATAAAAGCACCAGCGGTTCAGGAGAGAAAGATGCCCCACAAACACAGGTACAGGACAGGCGTTCGGCTGCGTCGCCTTCACCCCCTCCTATAAAGAGACTGCAAAAGAGAACCGGGGCAGCCTTCGAAACCTACAAAATGTCCCATTTACAGCTAAACGCTCTGGATCGCGCTTCCGCGGAGTCAAATTGGGGGGGGCTCTTTGTCACAGGGACTGTGTATTATGTTCGCTCTTGGAAAATGCATGACAGCAATGTGGCGTTGCCTTTTTTGAAGCCATACAAAAATTATGCAAATCGACCCAAAAGCAAGGGCTCGCCTTTTGAAATGCTAATGCTCTATTCATTAAGCACTTATTGGAAAACTAGCCGCTCTTCCCGCGCATCCCCCCCTCGCCTATCACCCGACCCTCTCGCCCCCCCTCCCCTCCCCGCTTTCAATGGAAAGCAACATTGTTTTGTCGTCAGGAAAGCTGAGGGTAGATATTAAGGACAGAAGTTTCTTTTTCTGAAGTAATTATCTGATTTTTTTTTTTTTGCTTTCTTCTTTTCTCGGGATTCTTATTTTACTTTATTCAGTAATATATTCCCTACAGAGGCATCCTGAATGCCTTTAAAATTTTCCCCCCACCCACACACCCACACACAGAGAGAGACCGCTCCTTAGTGGAGCCACTGTGCGAAGAACCCTATCGGAGACATAACGGTTTGAAAGTTAATCCCATAGAAATCAATGGGACTTACTTCTAAGTCATGGACTTCGGGTCAGTGAGAACAGAGTCAATGAATGGATCGCCTCATCGGCACCTTCATGCGGACAGCTGTACGTTTGGGCGTCCTCCCATCGAAGCCATTTCGGTTGGGGAGCGCCAGGAAATTGTATGTTTTAATTGTAACATTGCTGAGTTTTAAAAAAGAAAAGAACAAGAAAGCGAGATGTCGTCTTCCTACCCTACATCTCATTAGACCGTTGCTAATTTTATTGTTGTAAATCGGCGCCCACAGTCAGCACGTGTTTTTCCTAACCCCTGGCGCTGGAAAGGAGCAGCTCTCCAAAATTTCAGAAATAAAGGCGAGGGGAGGGGGGAATCGAGGGAAGCCACGTCTCGTCGCTCATCCAGTTTTGACTGAGAGAGAGGAAAGGCATCTCGGCGGGCATGATGACGTTCTAATTAATTTCGTGGTCCCAAATTGCCAGCTGCTTCGAGAATAAGGAGAATATGAGGGGCGGGAGCTTGACAGGTATACGTTACACGCTACACCAAGCCCAGGCCAGTTTCGAGCAGGTGTCCTAAACGTTTACAATAGGGAGGTCCCAATAGATTTCAGAGTGACTTCAAAGTATTCGTGAGTAGACCACCATTGCAGGAGGAACGCATCGCTAGTGGCCTATCCTACGCCCAAAGTCTAGAACAGACATTATTGATTATCTGATACTGTAGTCTCATTCAGAGATAGAGGCTGATGGCTGAACGTGACCATTTCCGTGTGCGGCTCCTTCCTCTTCTTCTGCCCTCCCCTCACCCCAAAGTGTGATTTGTGCCAAGTTGTAACTGGTTACAGTGATTTTGCCTTGTTCCTCTTCGCGGGAATAAATTGTAACTCCGTCTCGCGCAAAGCCTGTCCAAAAACTGGGAAACCCTTGCTTTGAAACAGATCCCACTGCAAAATTTGATACTTTCTTTCTTCAGGTTTTCCTCAGTTCCATTTAAGGTAAAGTTTCACCAGAGATTGGGACAGAGGTGTTACCAATGTGGTTGAACCACACCAGTGGCATTCTATTCAAATATTTGTCTTTTGCCCTATTATTAGAGATTAAGATTAAGAAGTAAGATTAGCAGTTTGACTTCACCACCCCACAGACCAGGCTAGGGCCTCGAAAATTGGGCCCTAAATTATCATTCCAACCGAAAGAATGGGATTTTGAAACGGCAGTCCGAGCTCCAGAAGCGCAAACCGGTAGCAAGGCCTTGAGACGCGCAAAGGGCTGGCGGGAGCCTCGCTTGTAAAGCTAGTCTGATTGGAATACGGATAAGGAGCGACCTGGGGAAATTGGAACACGTGGGGGAAATCAACGTTCCCTGCATCCCGCGGATCCGGTTCAAGCTCCTCATCCAGTCCATTTTGTTGAAATAAGCATGGGCGGGTAAAAATCAATCATTATTAGTCTTGCAGAAAGAGAATCGATGGAGTCCCCCCAACACTCCAAAATGTCAGGATTCCTAGAAACGAGCAGTCAAAAACAAAACAATACCAAAAAAGAGAGATAAAAATGAGGCGGGACGAATTTGAGATCAATTTAATACTGTATAAAATGTAAACTTCTCCTAAGAGCAGATATCACATAAATTAAAGAACTGAAATTTAGGGGAACTGCTTCTTGCATTTTTCCTTTTAATTTGGACTTTGTTCCTCTAAAAAAAACACAAAAAAACTCCACGATCAAATTGGAGCCAGCTTTTTGCAGCCCGATCCTAACCCCCCCCTCTAGCTTCTAATCCTAAAGCCGTTTTCTTCGAACTTTCTTTGCGTGAGTGCAGTTAACTCCGGATCCTACTTCCTAGAAGCATTTTTGCAGCCCGATCCTAAACCCCCCTCTCTCTAGCTTCGCCGTTTTCTTCGAAGTTTCTTTGCGTGAGTGCAGTTAACTCCGGAGCGATGGAATAATTCAGGAACGATTCCCTACTAAATAAGCGTTAAGTTTTGGGTTGCAGGGATGCTTAGGATCGCGCTTAAATATATATATTTTCCTTTTTTAAAAACCCGCCCCGAGGTCCACTGAACGCAAACCCGCGTTTCCCGCCTGTCCGCCCGCCCGCCCGCCTTCCTTGGGGAACAGGACGGCAACTGGTCGCTCCACGGAGGTACGAAGCGGAAGTCTCTCCCCGACTTTTGAGGCATCCCCATTCAAGAGCGGGCTGGCCCGAGGAAGGCAGGCAACTGTCG